TTTTTTTTTTTTTTTTTTTTTTTTTTTTTTTTTTCCTCTTCCAAGTCTGATCCATCATCCTTCTTCTTCACGTGGGAGGAGAGGAAACCTTCCCCTTCTTCTCCTTCATCCTTCACTCGATTTAAATGTATTCTGTTAACCGACCCATATTGACTGAATATTTCTCGTAGCCGGGCTGCAGTTAACCCTATGGGTACGTCTGCCAGGTAAACAATGCCCTTTTTAGATTCCTCCTTCCGGACGCGCTTCCACAGACTGTCGTTGAATTGGAAGCGTTCATCGGTGGGGGGGTTGTTCTCTTCCCCACTGTTGCCTTCCATCATGATGGGCGGTTGCCCCTCCTCCTCTGCTTTTTCCTTATCTTGGTCCATTTTTGCGGTAGGAAAAAAAAAAAAAAAAAAAAAAAAAAAAAAATAAACAAATAAGCAAACAAACAAGCAAACAAACAAACAAACAAGCAAACAAACAAGCAAACAAACAAGCAAACAAACAAGCAAACAAACAAGCAAACAAACGATGGCGCCTGTGCGCAATTACAGAGATGGACAGTGGCGCTTCGGCGGGTGCCCACTTACGCAACGGAGAGGGGTCAGCCAGAACCTCTTCTGACGTCAGCAGGGGCATGAGCAGGGGAAGAGGCCAGGGCGGGGAAGCCTCATTAACCGGACAATTCTACCGCCCTTTAATCATCCACCCCTTTTTTTTTTTCTTCTTTTTGTAAAACCACGCAGGTCAAATTATGAAGCCCGTGGCCTGGAACCTGATGGTCAACCTGAGCGACATGAGCTTCGAGAAGCGGAAGGTCTCGAGCGACTTCTCTGTCCCGCTGTGACATTGCCACGGAATGGAGTTGCAGCAAAATGTCGTTACCGCAGTGTGCAGCAGCGTGGGTGATCGGCCCACTTCTATCCCCCGCTACATGAGCAGCTTGAGCAGGTCAGCAGAAACGGCGTTGCTGTTGGGACGCAGGGACGGGGGTTCTTCGTGAGAAACTTCCGGGGGAACCTCTTCTTTCGCCTCGCCGTTCTCCCCCCCCTTCTTCACCGTGACAAACCGGAGTGGGCAAATTTGCTTCTTCACACGGGAGAAGCCCCCCTTTTCCCTCTTCCGTGGTCTGTCCCCACGCCTAACCTTCTCATGAGTGGAGCCTGCGTTTTTTTCCACGTAGGCTTCATATCCTTTGTACATGTCCTTCAGTGCATGGGTGAATTTGTCTTTCCTAGACATCCTGCGATAGAGGGCGGAGGACATGATGTCACTCCAAAGGAAATTGTCCTTTATAAATTTTAAGTGCCAAAAGGAATCTCGAACCATGTTGTTCCTTTTCTTTCCTCCAATCAGTTGGTTGTTCAAAGTGCGCACGGCTTTCATGGCGTCCTTTTTGTTAAGAAACTCTATATACCCATCCTGATATTTGACTAATTTTTTTTTTCCCCCTTTTGCGTTTACATTTTCCTTTTTTTTCTTTTTTTTTTTTTTTTTTTTTTTTTTTTTTTTTTTCCTCTTCCAAGTCTGATCCATCATCCTTCTTCTTCACGTGGGAGGAGAGGAAACCTTCCCCTTCTTCTCCTTCATCCTTCACTCGATTTAAATGTATTCTGTTAACCGACCCATATTGACTGAATATTTCTCGTAGCCGGGCTGCAGTTAACCCTATGGGTACGTCTGCCAGGTAAACAATGCCCTTTTTAGATTCCTCCTTCCGGACGCGCTTCCACAGACTGTCGTTGAATTGGAAGCGTTCATCGGTGGGGGGGTTGTTCTCTTCCCCACTGTTGCCTTCCATCATGATGGGCGGTTGCCCCTCCTCCTCTGCTTTTTCCTTATCTTGGTCCATTTTTGCGGTAGGAAAAA